AACCCTGCCTCCTTACCTGTACAACATTATTAAAACCATCAGGTAACCCTGCACCCTTACATGTACATCATCATAACAACAAGAGCCATGTCAACATGGCCATCCCCCGCCGAATGTGTTTGCTCATTGGAAGAATGTATATGTAGTAGAGCAGAATAATTCCATTTTAAGAGGTCTTTTGGTAATGAAAACTGATGGCTATAGTGATTACAGATTTAAAACCTATGTGAATACTGATGGCTGAAAATAATGCAGGGTAGGTTATCATTCTTGTGTGCTGCATCCCTCCTCAGTAAAATCTATCCACCTATGAAGTTTCAAGTTGATACCTCAAATACTTTTTGAGAAAAAAATTGAATTGAAAAATTAAGTATGAAAAATAACAAAGGGCAATAACTCAAAAATTATAAAAGGAAGAGTTATCATTCCTGTGCACTGCACACCTCCTGAGTTAGATCTATGTACCTATGAAGTTTCATTTTGATATCTCAAAGGCCTTTTGAGTTATGCTCTGGACAAATACTAATTTTGAAAAATAAAAAAAGGGCAATAACTAAACAATTATGCAGGGTAGAGTTATCATTCTTGTGCACTGCACTCCTCCTCAGTGAGATCCATCCACCTATGAAGTTTCAAGTTGATACCTCAAATACTTTTTGAGATAAGCTCTGGACAAAATAGCATGAAAAATAACAAAGGGCAATAACTCAAAAATTGGTTAGGGAAGAGTTATCATTCTTGCGCACAACATTCCTCCTCAATAAGATCTATCCACCTATGACATTTCATGTTGATATCTCAAACAATTTTGAGTAATGCTCCACTCGGGTGAAAAATTAAGTATGAAAAATAACAAAGGGCAATAACTCAAAAATTATGAAAGGTAGAGTTATCATTCTTGTGCATTGCACACCTCCTGAGTGAGATCTATGCACCTATGAAGTTTCATGTTGATATCTCATAGGATTTTGGAGTTATGCTCTGGACAAAAATCAATTTTGAAATATAACAAAGGGCAATAACTCAAAAATTATGCAGGGAAGAGTTATCATTCTTGTGCACTGCACTCCTCCTCAATGAGGTCTATCCACCTATGAAGTTTCAAGATGATAACTCAAATACTTTTAGACATATGCTCCGGACAAAAATGCCGGACGGAAGGACGGATGGAAAGTCGGACGGACGGAGACTATTTCTATATCCCCCGCCGCCTTTTCGGCGGGGGATAACAAACCAGGTAACCCTGCCTCCTTACCTATACAACATTATAACAGCCATAAGGTAACCCTGCCTCCTTACCTGTACAACATTATAACAACCATCAGGCAACCCTGCCTCCTTACCTGTACAACATTTTAATAACCATCAGGTAACCCTGCCTCCTAACCTGTATCACATATAACAGCCATCAGGTAACCCTGCCGTCTTACCTGTACAACATTATAACAGCCATAAGGTAACCTTGCTTCCTTACCTGAACAACATTATAACATCCATCAGGTAACCCTGCCTCCTTGTAGATTTCTCCCAACATGACTGCTGTTAATGGGGTCATCTGAGATGGTTTGAAGACAAAGGCGTTACCACAGGCTAGTGCTGGTGCAGACTTCCATGTGGCCATCTGAAATGGGTAGTTCCAGGCACCTATACCTCCAACAACCCCTAGAGGCTCACGTATAGTATATGCAAAGTTCCCCCCTGATAACTGTAAAAATTCACCTGTAAAATTGACAGAAAAATCAAGATTTACTCATAAATGATAAATTTCACATTTATGCAAACAAACAGCTTTAACACATCCATGAGATTTTTTAAATTTATACAACACTTACAAAATTAAAGGAACATCAACACCAAGTCCGTTTTAACAAGCATAATTTCACAAATAGATACAGGTAACAATACCCTTTGTTAGTAATACAACTTTATCAGAAATTGTTAATTAAGAACTAGCAAGTGGAGCTACCGTTTTAATACAGTTATAAGACTCCCTGGCTTATTAGACGCAGTCCTTACTACTGACTTGTCACCAGGGATTTTCATGTAGACCCTCATAAAAGACGTGGACATATTTTGGCTATTAATTTTATACAGCCCTCTAAAATAACAGCTTACCTGATATAGTAGATGCAAGTCCGCCATAATATTCTACAGAGTCAGCACAGCCTTGTATGTCAAAACGAGCCTCCCATATTGGTTTGCCTGTATCTAAAGTCTCTGCCCTTGCCAATTCTTCTTGTTTAACCTGAAGGTTTAATTTTTCAACAATGAAATACAGTACAATCTCTGCAAGGCAGACACCCATTGGGAGACAATTATTTTGTTTGTTGACGAGGTGTTCCTGTAGAGAGGTTTCAATTTATTGATGTCTTACTATTTTAGTAACTAACAATGTAGTTGATGACAGGTAACTGCCACTCTATACAAATGTACATGTAAAATATATTATGTAATAATGAAAATTGTTATTCACAAACAAGTTTATAAGAAAATTAAGCACTTTTAGACTTTTTTTCAAAGAAGTGCGGGGTAAAAGGAGCTGGTAACATTAAATGAGATGATGTCAGCCGTTCATAGGATACCTGAACATTGTGCGATAGAACCTGTATGTCCTTTACAGTGTTCCTGGGACTTGAAACTGAAGAACCCTGTGAAAAAATCACAAATTAGATGATAATAACTTTAGGGTTTGGTGAAGGTATAAAATTTGTTAAGAAATTAACAGAAAACTTCTTACCCTACATAAGTCAGCTGCACGTTTAAGTACCTGTCCCCTCTCAAACCCAGACATACCAGCCCATTGTTTCTGAGCTCTTCTAGCCGCTGCCATGGCATTGTCTAGGTCAGAGGCCCCGGAACTTTGTACAGTCTTTAAAACCTCACCTGTTACATACAGTCATATAAATATTTAAAAATCTAACTTGAATTTTCGAACTATTAGAGAGTTGTTAAATTTATTTTCAATTAAACATAATGAATTCTATGTAACAAAACCAGTCTGGATGTGCTGGCATTTAATATGTAGTGAGTAAAATTAAAATATAGAGGATATTGAATGAGTGTAAGTTCAATACTGAATTTATTGCACGAGTTGAATAAAATTATATTATGCGAGCCTCTGGCAAGCATAATATTATTTAATTCAACAAGTGCAATAAGTTCAGTAATGAACTTACACGAATTTAATATTCTATTTATCACATACCCAAAATAATAGTCTAGTCAAATTAGCCCGAAAATCAAGCTAACCTAGAACTAATTGCAAAAGTTTTTGTTTTGGTATTTAATGATGGTACCAAATCTGCTTGATATTTGGAAAAAAGTTGCACTCTTTTGCTGAAGGGGAAATATGATAATTCTGGCTTTCAAGTTGACACCCTTAAATTTCAGTTATAAAATCGGCGTAATTTGTTAATTTCCGATGATACTAAAAAAACACTTCTATATATAAGTTAAACATATTTATTACATGCAAACTTCATACAAACAAATTTTTGTCCATGTTGATACAAAAATTTATGCATTTAAAATTAAAAAAAAATTTTGGTGGGCAATTCTATGACAAACTGGTGTCAAATTACCCCACCCACTTTATGTTAAAATTTTTAACCAGTCAAATTCCGATATATAAGCAGCAAATCATCCATTCCATGTATATTTACAGTAAAAACAATACATAATAACATATTTATGCATGAAGAAGTACTTTGTAAATTATGTCAACTGTATTCATATGAATTAAAATGGACATACATGTGTATTGTAAATTATGTTTTAGATAAATGTTGAATAATTCAGGTTCATTTAGTTAAATTTATCATTTCCAATCCATGTTTGTGTTTGAAAATATGACGGTATAGAGTGTTGCCCCGCAGCATCAGACGTAGGCGGATTGCTTTGAACTTGAATAACAGATGAACTTGACATGGTTTTACTTACAAATTTGTGAAATCTCAGTCTGTTCAAACTTATCTCCCTAGCTCCATCATATAATATCCTCATGGCATTTTCACCACCTGTAATAATTTCTTCTTTGTTTGTTGAAGAATGAAATATTGCAGCATTTTGCCGGAACACTTCATTTTTACACATTATTTTAACGAACTGTCGCAACCAGAGAAAGCGTGCAGGAATGGTAGGAGATAACAAATCTTTATTCCAATCACATTTTGGTGTCTTTTGAATATATATGCCAAACTATTTGGGTTTTCATTGTCTTATCTGAAATATACATTCTTCGAATCTGACGAAAATCCAAAACTGACAACAGTCTGTTAAATACAACATTTCCCCACAGATTGTTTCTCTCAGAACATTTGAGTTGTATTGTTTCCTGCATCCTCGGTTACCCAGGCTATTTACCGTATATATGTATCGGTAATAATATTAAATGTGCCGTGGGTTCCGACGATGTGTTTCCTGAAAATCAAAACTTCTACCAGGATGAACATCTACGTTTACCAGATGCAATTTTAGCAGGCTTACCATAGAACAAGCAATTACACTTAAAAGCAAAATTAGCATTTGATCTTAAAGGTCTTTTAACTTGGTTACACTTAACATTGGGACTACTTGAAATGTTTCTATTGTGAATAAAATCCCTTCTACAGTCTTGGTGCACAATTTGGCCTGTAATTGTTCGTATACTTGTATACTTGAATTCCTCAGATCGCTAGCATGGTTAACACTGTTGCTTCCCTTCTCTCTGAGAGTGACAATTGGGACCTATTCTGGATATCCTGCGCACAAAATACGCACGTTGTAGAATCTGAAAGCATATTTTAAATCTACAGATCTGTATATATTATTATTTTGTATATGCATTATTTCACAGTAACAATAGTATTATGTAGTGTAAAATATGAATATACATCATACATGTATATAACTTATGAAATATGTTATTTTATATATGTTTGTGTATTGATTTTCTTACTATTCAGACCAATATCGACACATGGGAACATGATGAATGTATAAACCATCTGACATTGGTAAAAACAAAATATACCTGTTGCCATGTTGATATTTATTTGTAGATCCCGAAATCAGAAATGCACAACGGTTTTCTGGAAAAAATATTCAGTATAGAAATATTCAGTATAAAATGTGCATTTATTTCAGCCTACCTTAAATAGCCTATGTTATTTCCCTGCATTTAACATACATTAAACCTTTGTCCGAAAACTTAATGGCAAGCATGTGTATATTTACAGAGAAATTGTCATGAGTTTTTATTAATTTAATATACAGAAGTCAGTATAAACATACCGAAATGCAACGCCCTTCATATCGTTGTTTGTTCCATCAGCAGGGTTTGGTAATGTGGCTTGTATCATCTATAGAAATAAAAGACATATTTTGTGAGAAATCATGTATGAATTTAGCATATATTTATATTAGCATATTAACTTTGTATTTAAAAGAAACAAGTATATTTTGCATGAACCGATACTCAAATGACATAATCGTTCATTTCATATTTCCACTTTGATTAATAAAGCGTGACGTCATTTGGCCAATGCCAATTTGAATATTCGGCATTACTTTCCATAGGTGTTAAATGTAGGCAATAACAAAAAATATCCGTACTATGTTATACTTTGCATTTTTAAAATATTAAATCAGTAAGTTATACAATCACAACAGACCGATGAAGGTGAACATATATGGAATGTATTGTATGTTCCTGGCAATCATGTAGTATGAAAGCTCGGGAGCGATTTTGCAAATTTCCTATGAAAAGCTACTGGTGTGGTCCATTTCACATAATAGCATATTTAATCAAAGGACAAGTTAAAACAAACATTGTTCATATATTATAGATAGAAATTGTGCATAGATAATACTTAAAGTATGACTCACCTTGATACAAGAGACAGCTGAACATTAGATAATCATCATATGACCATTGGTGTGTTAATCATGGATGCCCTATCTGAAATTAAGTATTGATTTTATTTATGTACATTTACGTGTTAAATAATGCAAAATATATATCTAAATATAAATTTATATATACGTACATGTAAATCTGAATATTGTTTTATATACTGGTTTGGGACCACCAAAACCAGACAACCACCAAACCCGGACGGTCCCGAAAATGCTTTATTTAGTATTTTCTTTGTTCAGTGGTTGTCAGTCAAATTAAGTAAATAAATTTATTTCACCAACGTAAATGGTAATATTTTTATTGTCTATTTCTAGAATGTTGACGTTGAAATTTGGGGGTCAAGAAAGCATTGCCTGACCTCATATACGAGCTATAATCATTTGCAGAGTAAACAATAGAATATCCAAAACTTCAGCATTTGTTGCTGAAATATTGTATATCATGTTAAAAATCTAAAATCAAAACACCCCACGTGATGTACATATCTGTCCGGACACATGGTACTGTAGTGTAGACAAGTTAGGTAATTTTGATACCCTCCTTGTGGAGCCTCAGATATAAGTGTCAATACAATCAGAAATAAACAAACTAGTTTGTTAGTTAGGAGAAGAACCTAGCTGAACTGTGTCAAATTTTAAGGTCTCTAGGTTAGAAATTATGAAATTTGTACGGAAAATTGTTCAAAAAGTGTTCGTTTGATGGTCCCCGACAGTACAATAAAAATACCTTGTTATAATAAAATAATGCATATTCACGACGTAAATTATGTCCCGTTTTGTCTTCCGTAGATTAAAAAATCGTGAAATTTGTTCATTTCAAAGTAACAATATAATGTCGAAAATACAAAGTTTTCATATTAAATATGTCTTATTAACATCGTTTTCTTATAAATATATATAGATCGTTTATTTAAATCAAATCTACTAACATTTACTGGTGATATTGGTTTGCTGTTTATTTCCAAAAATATTTAACATAAAATCGTAGTTATATTTAACTATGGCACTTATTGTGAAAGTAAAAAGGCATAAATGATAAAAGTAAATGTAAAATACACAAAACAAACTTACCTTTGCCATCTAAATGCTATTTTTGATGAAAAATGATATTTATGTTTCGACGGAAGTTTCACGAAATCATATGACAAGTTTTCAATGACGCGCGTGCCTACGTAAAATTGTTACGTCATAGGAAAAAACCGCGTGTATGGTGTACAGTTCGGGTCTTAAAATATAAAGTTAAAATTCGTGAACTTTGAACGCTTGTAAAAAAAGTTGTGCACAGAGTTATATGTGCAACTTTTTTTCTGACATATACATATACCAGACCTATTCAATGAACAAAGATTCAAAACTTTTGCAATTAGTTCTGGGTCATATTTTATTTTTACTAGACTATAAAGACCGTTTAAAGTGAAATAAGAGTCATTTTTCATTGACGCGTCTTTAGTATAACGCTTACATTTAGCGCGTCTTTACACTATGTTTGTATAACGCTAATGACATCACATCAAAATATATGCACGGCCGTGCAATACCATATTTACGGAGTCGCAAAATCGGCACGGCTGTGTGATAAAAAAGATTAGTAAATGTCTTCCAAAAACATTAATAAACTTAAGAAAGGTGTTGAATAACTTTAATTAAATATTTCTGTTCATCATTATAATTAGTTGGTTTGTGCGGAAGGATGGCAAGGTTGCAATTTTAAAATGTTTTCTAGTGTCTCGACTCATAATCTTATTTTGATGAATTTGTGTAATGACTTTATTCTGCTCTGAATTTGGAATAATCCGTTCTAAGTTTATGAAATTTCAGTATCAAATTACACAGCTACCAACAATATGGCTTGGTCTAAGAGACTAAGTGAACAGTTCTATACTGGTGGCAAAGACTAATCAACCAGCAGATATAGGGATAACAAAGACATTTTTATTGCACTGGGAAGTTCTATGTCATCTTCATATATTCAACATTTACCTGTGGCAGGGTATATAAGAGGAAATTGTTGTTGTTTATCATTGTTCAAAGGCTCCACTCTTTGTCCATCTAGAAAGTTAAGTGGCTGTGTAACAACTGGTGACTTTGCAACTGCGGTGTGGCAACATCTCTTTGTTATAAGTGCTAAATATAATGGTCTGTTCCGTACTAAACATGCCATGTTCTGTCAATGATGCTGAAACAGTAAAAAAATTTTTTTTTAATGTAGCTTTCTAACACCATTGTCATGTTAACTCATTTTATGTCTTACCACTGGTCACTCAGCACCAGGGAGACCTTTCACACTACTCACTAGTTCAACATAATTATAACAACCTCTTATGTTGCCATTTACATTGCGTGTCATACACATTTTCACCTGGATGAAATAAATAACTGTATCATAAATTTCTATCTCAATGACCAAGGACAGGATGCAAACCATTGGGACAAACTAAAAATCTATCAATCATGAAGCATGATCCCTTAAGTTATCTACTATCATACAAAAAATAACTGAAGCCAAATAAATTAGGGACTATTAATTTTTCATTTTTAGCATACATGTTAACTTTTTTCAATGTTTCAAGAGAATTAACTTTAAAAAGAGGGAGATTTGGTAATTGACAATAGACATAGAAGGAAATTTTGAAATGAAAAAGAGGGAGATTCTTTTTTTTATTAAACAAACACCCTTTATTCTTAGAAAATATTCAGAAATTTGACAGGAGAAAGAGTGAGTCTCCCTCTTAAATAGTGAGAGTTCACAATTGTATGTTTTAGTCAACTGGTGTTATTATTTATATCTTAATAGTAAATATTTGAGAATTTAATTACATTATTTCAAAATTAAACTTTTGTCTTTTGAGATTTTTTTTTAATGGGGAATGTATTTTTAAGTTCCTTTAAGAAATAAGCCTAATAACTATTCTGGTTCTATTTTGGTTTTAAACGTCACTGATACAGTGAGGACTGGTCAACAAACAAGAGATTGATCAGATATTGAATTAAATCTTTCATATACATGTATACTTAATAGTATTTAAACTTAACAGTTTCATATAGGCTATCTATTTCAACTATCAGAATTAAGGTTTGCTTAAGTAGGTTGACCTGATAAAACACATTTATCTTTAAGATGATCGCCAGTGAATAATGTACAACATAAACAGGTACAGTTTAACCTGACTTTCATATAACCCCTTGACATTCTGTAAATATGATTAATTCCAAAACCTCATGATAAGCACCATAATAATAATATTTTACTAAAATTTGATATAATGAAATAAAATCCACTGAAAATGTATGCATGCAAAATAATTTCACAAATTTATGTTGCTATCTGCAGGATTTGTTTGCTCTTGTTTAGAAAATTTAGCATCTTTTAAACCCTGATATTTTTCACATTCTTGCAGCATAGTCACAATATTTTGACTGCAAGCTGACCAAAACCAATTTTACCAACTGAATTAGAATAGTATAACGACCATTAATTTCCAATCAATTAAGAGTTATGCTCAATGACATATAAATAACAATAATAAATGAGATCAAATAAAGATATTAAAGAAAATAAAACTTAATTTCTACTTCTTCTACATCATACTGCTTTAAAATCGTTTATGATCACTCTAAGCAGGTATACATTGTATACATGAAAGAGACAGCTACAAGGTTGTCATTAAGAGGCGGCAGGAGGCCAAAATGCCTGTCTCAAATGCATTATGGGCTGTCTCAAAATTAAGAAAACACTCTTTGTTATGCATGATAAAGACAGAAATGACCCCCTCAAGTTCAAAACAAACCTTCTGCAAAAAATGTTAATGACAACCCTGCAGCTATGAGATACAAGGGAATCCGGGAACCAGTCCCTAGCTCTTAATGAATAGACCCCTTGGTTCTTGTACAGTGTATAGCACTGATACTGATTCCTCAATACCAGTTCACCTCTAGGTAGGTGGGAACTAAGGCCCCAACAATTACACGTTTAAACGGATTCGTTTCGATTTTCATTCATAAACGTTTACGATATTGTTTACCGTTTAATCGAAATGACCATACTGTCTTACAAAATTTCTTTAATCAATTGCCTGTAATCATGGATTTTATCAATTCTAGTGGGTTTATTCCAAAGTAAACAAACGGGAAAATGGGTGTTTACAACCCTCAACACAGCATTACCGTGCAAAATTGCTCGTTGACATAATACATTTTTGGTAAAAAAATGGGGTTACAATGAAAAAAAATGTGTGCTGACTCAATTGTGATGAGCCTTGCACATTCTTTATTTGTACATGTATTAAAAAATAGAAAGATAGACATCATTTGGCAACTCAAATTACATGGTGTATATAGTACATAGAGGTACCCACCGTTTAAAACGGTATCGTTTTCGGTTCTTAGCAGTCGTGTAAACGTTTACAAAAAAATGTAAACGAGGGAGCCTTAGTGGGAAACTACTGAAAGTGTCTCTGAAAAAATTCCAATTGTGTAACCCAGGATTGAAACCTGGGACATCAGGAATAATAAGTGGTTTAAACAACTGAGCTATTGCGCCACTCATGATAATTTGTATTATAGCAAAAACAATGAACTGAAAAAAAACAACAACAACTTATTAACTGAATAAAGTACACAGATATCTGTTTTTGTTTAATTTCACCACAGGCGAAAGCCTAACAAATTGTGCGTTTTAGGGCTTTTTTTATATAGATGATGCGTCACCCTTTGCGACACATCTATGAAATATCAGATTATAAAAATCGGTCTGTCTTGCCGTCGAAATATTGAGACTACACAGGCGACTGTCCGTTATATAAAAAAACCCTTGTGTGCACAATTTGTTGTGCTATCTTGCTGCACTACTTAATTTTTTGGTCTCAAATCACATGTACATTAAAATGTAGATCACAGATAAACACTTCTTTTTGTTACACATGCTGCATTTTGTTGACAATTAATTTTAACTTTACTCTTAATAGTCTTAACAATTTAAAGATCCCCTAATATAATGATTATATTCATTATAATTTTTAAAATTGATATTCGTTTCAGTGCCATGGTCATTAAAGTAATATAGTAATTAAAGTATTTGATAAAGAATTGACATAGTTAAATAAATCGTCTGCCCGCTTGCGGACTATCCGAAAAACATTGCCACTTATGAATGAATTGAGTTGAAAATATCGTGTTCAAACAAGTGTCATGCTCTTATTTATCGAGTAAACTGAAGGAACTACATTTACATGTTAAGATAAATAAAAACTTACGAGGATGTTTTATCAAACAAACTTTCCTTTGATTAAAACAATCTTACCAAAAAAAAAAAAATAACAAAGGGATATAACTCTATTGACGTGACTCTTTTTAATAAAGATAACTTTATCACTAGTGGTTCCGGTAAGTTCTGTGTGGCGGGAAATTATGAAACGATTTGCAATGTTTTATGTCAGGGAATGTTTTAAGTAACGTTACATTTAAAAGAATCTTTTCATCGGGAATTTTCATTCATTTAGGTAGAATTACCTTATCCATCTTATTTTCAAAATTGTGGCGTCTGCAATTTGTCCTTATTTGGTCATAGAATGATAGGTAGATAGATAGATACTTTATTTTGGATCTGAGACACAAGACAAGTTTCTATAGTCAAACAGAGAACTTTATCTTATGTCACAGGCTGGATCTAAATTAAGTTCAATTCATATATCGATAGAAATAGAAGCATTATGTTATTTAGGAACTAAATTTAATCAGATTGATATGTTGTAACTACATTGTAGAGTCGTTTCCAAATATATCAGTTTATGATATTCATTAATTGTCACCATTTTGTGTTATTGTTTAATGTGGAAAGGGTGAATGTCAAAACAACTTTAATGAATATTTATTGCAAGTCAATTACAGATTTATAGACAGGCAGACAGATAACTTTATTTCTCTCAGGTACATGTGTCACAATTATAAAGAGAATTAAACTAGAATTAAATATTTCAAGAACAATGTAAATATATGTTAGGCTTAATCGTTAAAATTAGACTTAGAGATATGCCCATTGTTTTACATTTTTAATCAATTTCTTTCATTTTAACATAATATTTATTGTAAATTTACTCCTATTATTTCGGATTATTATGCTACTCTTTGATAAATTGAAAATCTGATTATATTTCAAACTAGAGGCTTTATATTAACAGTAAACACATTGCCATTTTCCTTGTAAAATTAATTTTAAAAAGTTTTTTCCCTCTCCTTGGGTTAAGGCAATAATAATTGCTTTAATTCTTCTGTGGCCAATCATTATTTCACTGTGGTGAATTGTTAATAATTCATTATAATTATGCCCCAAAGTCAGGGACTATTAATATTTTGCTTGTAAACAATAATTTTTCTACAGTTCAGTTATTTTTTGTTATTATTTAAAGTTATGTTGTTTTAGTGAAACAAGGCAGCATATTATATCACTGAGTATGTTGTTGTTGTTGTTGTATTTCAGACAGATGAATAGTGATCACATTGACAGAACAGCTGACAGTGCCAGGAGTGAGGTACAAATTGCCCTTGGTTAAATTATCTGTTCAGTATTGTTTATATCTACATATTCAAAGTACATATGTCATAGTGGTCAAAAATAGTTAAATACACTTCCATATATTTTTTTATCTAAAAATAGCTGCAGTCTAAATGGTCCAAACAGTAGTCAACAGAACAAATTGTAAAATTATATAATTTACTGGGCGTAGAATCATATTCACTGGCTGAATTGGATTTTCCCAATCTAAAAATAGATTGAGACTCATACAATGACCATACAACATAGACTGTGAATTAAGCATGCACATTAAAAAATAATTATTACATTTTGTCCAGGACTTAACTCAGAAATACTACAAGAGGCAGCGATTTTTTTTTCCCAATTTTTAAAACAACCTGTGGCTTTCTGAAGGGGAAAATATAGCGCCATAAAGTAGAAAAAGGTAAAACCTGAAATCAAATTCCAACAACTGAAAATGGGATTTACCCACACATTTTATGGAAAAAAAAATTAATTTCAATTTAATTGAACATGCATTGCATATAGCAGAGGCTGACTATAGGGACAGATTTCTGTCTTCTGATATTGGTCAGATGATATTAAGTCATGGTTCTGGTAAAGAAGAGCCTGAGGCATTTTTAGGGGAAAATATACCTATTTTTGGCTAGGGGAAACAGCCTTTATTCGGCTATAAAATACAGTGAAAAAAAAAAAAATCACTGAGAGGTATCAACAAGAAACACATTAGGTAGATAGATCTCATTGGCACAAAAACAGTAACTCTGCCTAAGCCCCTTGCCAAATTTTTGAGTAATTAATTGACCTTTTTCATTTTTACATTATTGTCCGTTACATAACTCTGAAACCACAAGAGGTATCAACAAGAAATACATTTTTATTGATTTAAACAGTTGTTACCTTTTCCAGCAATTTGGTAAACACTTTATGGACAAACTACTTCTCTATGATGTCTAAAACCTATTCGGGGAGCATCACTCGCCTTAACCGACTCTTGTTTATTTCAGGTTGTTTCCTTGGCAACTGTTGTAGGAATGAGGGAGGAATCAAAGACTGTTAAATCACTGACTCTAAAGGTTGAAGACAAACAGTTCAGTTTTAAAGCAGGGCAATGGTAAAATTTGTTTGTTTGTTTGTTCCTTTATCACAGAATTTTCCTCTTATATTTGTGTTCAAGGGATTTAATCTGTGAAAACACAATACAATTTGAACAAGACAGGGCTGAATTTAACTCTTGCAAACTTTTTCCTTGCTGTTGACATTGATTATTTGTGTAAAATTTATGTATAATCAACAGAAATACACATTAATAAAGATTAGAATACTTATTGTGATATACAATGAATGATCACGATAAAATTGTTGTGCCATGAAATTCCTTGTGATACAAAAACAATTAATTAAATTCAAGCTCTAGAAAATATTCAAAGGAATTTTACAAAAACTAACAATTTTTCAATGCAGTTATTTAGTAAACTTTTAACGAAATTTAATCTTTTACCATTTTTCTGTCACTGAAACATTGTGAACTGTTTGTTGTTCCTTAGAATTTAACCCCAGAAAGACTTGATCTGAATTCAGCTTTGAACACTAATGAAATGGTTGTATGAGTTTGCAACATACAACATGTATGTGAGAAAAAGATTTGAGCCGTGTCACAACAAAACCAACATAATGGGTTTGCGACCAGCATGGATCCAGACCAGCCTGCGCACCTGCGCAGTCTGATCAGGATCCATGCTGTTCGCTTACAAACTCTATAACAAGTAGAGAAACCGATAGCGAACAGCATGGATCCTGATCAGACGCGCAGGCTGGTCTGGATCCATGCTGGTCGCAAACGCACTGTTGGTTTTGTCATGACGCGGCTCATTTTTTTTGCCTTCCATTACAACTTTAAATACAGCCGTGCTTCCATCTCACACAAAGTGGTTATCAAAATATAAACATAAACTTTTTTTTTCTCTCTGTATCTTAGGGTTGACATGTTTATTCCTGGTGTGGAGACGATTGGTGGATTTTCCATGTGTAGTTCCCCTCTTAGATTGACGGAAGACCAATGTCTAGACTTAGCAGTGAAATATAGTGAACATCCCCCTGCTTATTGGGTACATACCAAGGTAATTGGCTTAGGAAAAACTGATTTAGAAATAACTTTTTAGGGTCTGATTATGCCCTGATTATGCCCATATGGTGGCTTACAGATCAGCTTTTTTAAAAAAAAAGATTGATTTCATATTTCCAAGTGCACTCTGTACATTTAAATTGCTAATGAATATCTGACTTATTTTTTTAAGCCTGATTATGCCCTGAAGGTAGCTTATATATATTTTTTCAACAATTTCATGAAAAAGAGTTTGATTTCTATTCAAGGTTTTGAAATTTTACTTAGGTAGTTACCACATACTCTAGTCAAGAATTAATAACACTTGGGATTTTTATCAAACTTGTGACCCCATTCTAACTGAGTACATGCCAGTAGTACTGTATGAAGTCCATTTTTGTTAATCTCAACTCAAACACATTGTCCTACCAACTATCAAAATATCATTTTTGGTAGTTAAAAAAAATAGAATATAAATTATGTATTTTAACGGGTAAAGGTGTGTAATGTGAATGCTGGGATTTTTTTCGATGTATATGAAAGCATGCAGGTTCTACTTTACTAATTCCTGTCCATAAAAAAGTAATGCATTTTTTATCATGATACAGAGCAGATTGAGTTTGATAGTTTCTTGGAGGCAACATCTCATCTGTTTTATGCTATTTGATTTCACGCTCAAATACAAATGAATCAAACCAAAAACGAGATTTTTTAGTAGAATATATTTCATATCAATATTTTTTTTTTTATTTATTTTTTTTGCAGTTTTTCGTGAAACTTTAATGTTTTTTAGATTGCTTGGTCTTTTATGTTTGTTTGATTTGTTTAAAGACATGGTAACATATTCTGTTTTCTAGTGTAAAGTGAGAGAACAAGTAAAGATACGAGTTGGGGGAGACTTTTTCTTTGACCCAGCTGTTCAGAAAGATGTTGATTTACTCCTCATAGCTGGAGGTGTAGGTATAAATCCAGTATACAGTATTATCAATGAAGTGGCTGATTTGAATAAGGGGGACAGCTCTTCTAGGTTCAGTGGAAAAGTTAAGCTGCTTTTTAGTGCAAGGACCACTGATGAATTAGTTTTCAAGGTGTGTACATTTTAATTGTGTATAGTTTATATCAGACACAAAGATAACATGTTATTTATTCTCTGTTTATATATTCTACTTAAGATTCATTCAAGGTTTTCTAATCCTTACTATGTTTAACCTTTTACCACATGAGCAAACATGTATTGTGAAAAATGGCTGTTTTCATTAAAAAGCCTCCTGTTACAAGTTCAAACTGCTATAAAACTATGAAAAATGCTTCAATACTGATTAAAAACTTGGCACAAATGTTGACTGAACCATAACCTCTGTAACTTAAATTTCCTGTTACCTTTGCAATGGGGGGACGTCTCAAAATTGCGAAAAATCACTATTTTGCATTGTTTTTTCCATCAAAACTGATTTCAAAGTGCTGCAACTTCTCAATGCATTGAGAAAGAGTGAAAGGCTTTTCAGCGTTGGTTACACATTACCTTAGGATTGATCTGAGGCCATTTTTAGCCTAGCACATGTCCAAAATGTTCTTGGCGATGAGGGGGACCTGCTGCCTCCTTCAAACCCCCTAAACAGACCCCCTTCTGGCAACCCCCTTATGTATCATTTTGATAGGGAGCGCGCCGAAAAGTGATCTCTTTTTTTTACAACATTTGTCAAACGAAAACAGTGTTTGGGGCCTAAATAGGGCATATTTTCACTGTTTGAGGCCTCAAAAAAAAGGGGGGGGGGACAAAAACCCGTTAAAACACGTGGACTTTATGAAGGAAAAGGTTAAGCAAAAAGGGATGGCTTTTATCGTGTAGACTTTAAATAATCAAAAGATTGCACTGGTTCTTCAATAACGTTGTGTAATTTCTGAATGCCGGAAGTCAACGCTACAACTTATAGAAAAGGTGCATCTCGCTACGTAATGATAATTTTGACGTAGTATTCTTTCTATACATGCATATATATGAGACAGCATTCTCTATAGTGTACTGTCACAGACAAGAAACATTTGTAGGTTATAGTCATTGAAGATAGCATTGCCATGGAAACTGAAGAACTAATGCTAGATTTACAAAATTATCGCACTATTTGAACAATCTTGCATTCTATTGTATATACAACTAACTTGTGGCTAGGAGCCACATGTATTTTCTCTCTATTAGACAAGGAACGCTGGTTAGGTGGACTGATGGTCGAGATATGACCAAAAAATGTTAAAATTGAAGTAAAAAAACAAAACCAAATAAATAAAAATTAGCACTGAGCTGGGACAGAGTTGATATTCTGGCCCAGAACTGAGGTACACTGCATAAAAAACTAGAAGATGCAACTGTTAACTTAAATTCTTATTTTCATTTGAATGGAAGAAATATGATGAAATGAGGTTAAACGTTTTTAATTTTTTTCTCACAATTATTAGTACCTTGAAGTAATGGACGGTAGCATGCTCAATTAACTGATAATCAAATGAACTGTGCAGTTTTCTGAAGTTTCAAACTTTAATTGTAGGAGCAACTGAACATAATACAGAACAATAATGAACACATTAATTGCCAGTTCCACGTGACTCGTGAGAAGGAAACAACCCACAAAATTGGAGATGTCCTTTTACTTAGTATGTTGTCAAAATATTTTGAAACTTTCGTAAACAATGGTGTTAGTTGTTAGTCAGCCAATGTCGTAAATTTCAAGGACGTCTGCTCTCTTTTGCAATGCCAAATAATTTTTACGCATTTAAAGTAAATTAAGTCACCCTTCAGAAATGTAAATGGTTTTCTTTAGTAGTAGTTTTCTTTTAATACTTTTGAAATCTGCTGACAAATTTTTAGGTTTTGGTATACATGTATTTAGATACGAGTATATTAATCTGTAGATATTTAAACCTTAGCACAAGAGCATGATTGTAAAAATGAGAAACACCAAAGAGGAATTATGCGTACTCTTTTTCTTCTTCTAATTTTTTCAAGATATAACGATGGCATTTTCTTGAGAGAGATTTTATCTGCCCTGTCATTTTTAGATGGGAGAGCTTTTGTCCTTCACTCGGTTGAATCATTTAATAGGTTATATAGTTTTTCTAAAAATTATATACAATTAACAATGGCATATTAACGATACATCTTTGTTGTAGAAAAACTAAGGCTCTGTTTGTTTAACAAAACTACAGAAACTTATCTTCTTTCTGTTTAGATAAAAGAATACAGACAGGTGATTTAGACAAAAGTTTCAACTGGCTACGAAAGGAAAATACATGTGTTTATATATGTGGACCTTCACATATGATTGAAGATGTAGAATTATCACTTTTACAGCTAAACATTGCCAAGCAAAGAATAAAATACGAAAAATGGTGGTGACATAGAAAACACAGATCTGGCGTTATATACATGTAATTACATGTATTATAAACCATGTTTATAAATCTGTTGTTGTGTTGTTGATTTTTTTCCTCTGTTGGAATAAAATGTACATATGTAATTATATATATATAAATGTTTGCATATTAATAGTTATAATTAAGTTCAACTTGGTTATTTTCTACTATATTTATCACATAAAAATAGAGAAATAAAATGGGGCGTCCGTGGCTGAATAGTTGAGGTCGTTGACTTAATATACTTGACCCTCGCCTTTGTGGTATGAATCCCACCGGGAACTTTGAATTCTTCTATGTGAGTAAGCAAGCTATAAAGTTCTAAGCAAACGGAACGTCGGTGATTTTAATCGAGTACCTGATAGTGCTGAAATAATGTATGGAGGGAATCTGAGATGTTAATCCACCAATAAAGCTAGAAAGTCGCCATATGGCCATTACAGTATCGACGTCACTTAAAACTCAACAAAAAAGCATGCGTATTAATTTGCAATTACTACACATCACTGATGAGAATAACTCCCACGTTAGTCTTCCAAAAAATATTGAACAACCGAGTGTTTTTAAAATAAATGGGCGGATAAATCATTTTCTCCAGTGGCACTGATCTTAACACTGTGATGAATTATTATACTCGAAAAACTGTTTCAATAAAGAAGGATCTAATGTTATAGTTAACAACAAGGAGACATTATATGAGCCGCGTCATGACAAAACCAACATAATGGGTTTGCGACCAGCATGGATCCAGGCCAGCCTGCGCATCCGCGCAGTCTGATCAGGATCCATGCTGTTCGCTTACATAAATCCTATTACAAGTAGAGAAACTGATAGCGAACAGCATGGATCCTTATCAGACTGCGCGGATGCGCAGGCTGGTCTGGATCCATGCTGGTGGCAAACCCACTATGTTGGTTTTGTCTTGACGCGGCTCAATTATAATTATAGCTTTATCTTTAATGTCCTGAACACGAAAAAATACTTTAATATACAATGTAGTTGTTACAAGTTCTCAAATGTTGGAGTCTATTTTTTTTAGTACTGTACATAATGTAACCACGAAATATTCTACTGATCCTAAGACAAAGTTAAGTATGTTCAGCTTCTTATGTGACGATATTAAACTTCTAGAAGTCCATTCGAAGCATTCCGAATGTATCACAGACCCTCCAAACGCCCTAAAATCTGAATAAAATGGATACAATGTTTTTGCCAATCCCAGGACATATTCGTATCATATATATATCTATAAAACTTGAAGTAAGCTGTTTTGAAAAAAAAAAGTGACGTTGAAATATGATTTTTTTTTCAAATTAAACAGCTTTAATTAAGTTTTATTGATATTTGTATATGTGTTGGGGCTGATAAATAGACATTTTATTTGGATTTTAAGGCGTTTGGAGCTCCACACCCCTAGTGTCTGTGGAATGTATAGATTTTGATTTTGTGAAGATTACTTTGAGTTTAGAGGTTGCTAAAGTAACTAACTATATTTGTGATCATTAAACGATGCAAAGTTTAGTAACAAAAAACAAACATGTTTTTTCCTGCTTCTTTTAATTCTATAAAAATATTTATAATATTTGTCATATGTTCCGGTTCGAATCGGAATATCCGGGGGGGGGGGCATTAGGCGGTAACGAGACTTACCGTGTATGTCATAACACCCGTAACTATAGAAATTTGACAATTCAACTTCTCGGCCCTTTTCGTCAAACTTCGTAAACAATAGTGAGAATACACAGAACGGATTTGGTATTTCGGAAAAACCTATGCAAAGGAACTAAACAGATACAAAAACATAAACAGACAGTAGTTTAACTAAGTTTATTCCAAATTAACTAGTTATGTATTTAAAGTCAACGTAAATTTAGGTTATATACTTATGATTTATCATATTAAAACCGAAAGTACAAAATGTATACCTGTTGAAAATAATTCGGATTCGGTTATCATAGGGCGTTTTTAAATTGGTTATGATTGTCGTACATATTTCTAATCATGATTTTTTACCGAATTATTATTATCATTTATGCCAACCATTATGTTTCTTAGAACTCGACGTTGCTGTTAAATATGTAAGCTTTTTATCAATACTATCTTTAAAGAATTAAGAAAAATCCTCTATACTTGAACTCCTGTTTATAAACATACTTCTAATAAAAGTGTTTCCCTAGGAAGATTTTTGGTAGGCTCAACTTACTAAAATATTTTTCATGACCAATGACGTTACTTTAAGTCAAATATTTTTATGAAATTGCAGTCTGCTGATTTCAAATGTTCACTGATAAACATTTTGTTTTGTTCTTCAGAAATCAGAATAGAGGCCGGTTTTAGTACATTTTGCAGGTAGAAAGGCAGTATTTTTCTTGTACCAGATACAATAAGTCCAACTTTATCGCCTTTACCTGGATAACAAACAACAGCACATCCACAGTTGGTAACTGTCGAGCCTAATGGCGATCCCATCTCCTCACTTTTTGTCGTATCTTTCAGCACTCCCTTGATGGTAAATTCATGTACAGCTTCGTTTCCTATGTCAGATACAAACATGTTTTTATTATCGTCACTGATGGACACATATAATGGCGATTTTAGTACGCTTGTTTCTTTCACTGCATGAATAATTTGTCCATCCATGTTTATAACCTGAACAGCGGAAGGTTTAGTGAACGACACTGCCATCATACCATTACGATGATCTATGCCCATACATCCTTTCCTGACATCCAGACTGTGACTTTTAGTCAGCCCACTTTGTGTAATCACAAACAATATTTTGCCTTCATTCGGTAAAGTTGTTGCAGCATATTAAGAATTTATAGTTGTAACGTCAGCGGGAAGACTTGACAATTTCAATATGGATGTTGCTTTACCCTTTCTATGATCTAAGACTTTTAATGAGCTCTTATCCGCACACATAATTTCAGTTTCTGATATAATCGTCATTCCTGTTATGAAACAGTCTGTCTCTTTTTTGCCCTGCATGTTAAATTTCTGTACGAATTGTGCCTTTGACCCAATAAGAGTTCTTTTACAAAGTCCAGAAAATCTCTGTATTTGTGTACTCAGATTGCCAAGGCATCTGTTTCGTATTTGTAATGCATTTATATATTCAGATGATTTAAATTTAAAGGCGTTTATTTGACTTTTAGCTGAAATTTCCTCATTCATTTCATGGAATTTCTGCAGTCTTTCCAGTGCGCGTTTAGATGTGACAAATAAACTGTTGTCTTTACACAGTTCAAGTTTATTTTGAAATTCTTCAATTTCAGCAGTCAGTGTCTTGCATTGATCTTGAAGCTTTTCCTGTGAACAGACATCTTTAGCATTCACTTCATCAACTTTTTGTAAAATATCTGCTTCCATTTTGTTCAGATAGTTGTCAATTTCCTGGCGGAACTGTTTAATTTCTCTGATAGCATCTGTCTTTATTTCCTCAGCGGTTTTAAGACTGCGTTTTATTTCTTCCATACAGGAAGCAAGATTTTTTCTAAGATTGTCAATTCTATGTTTGATTTCTAAAAGTTCGTCACAGTCGCCATAGTTACTGGATACGTTTGACACGAGCTGAACCTTGCAAGAAGCATGATTTAGAACAATGCAATCTCCACATCTAACGCTATCATGATCTTTACAGTAAAACTTTACTATCTCGTTCTCATGGACATCGCAGAACTCCGTGAAATCGTCGGTTTGATCCAGACTTTTTGACAATTTGTCTTTGTGATTCTTCGTCCCGACAAACTTCCTGTGTGCCTTGATACATGATGCACATATAAACTCATTACAAAACTTACAGCACATCTCTGATTGCACAGCATCGCTGTCTCCTTGATATGGCTGGCATTGGACAATCGATTCGTCATTGTCGGATGCTTCCAATTCTTTTCTACCGGGAACGTCCATTGAAATATTTGCAACCTGTATCCAGTACACCCGCCTTTGAAATATGTTAAATACGTTGATATGATGTAATCCCGTATCTATTCCTCACCACTCGACTTTCAAGTTCAAATTCGGTGACGTACAAAGTACAAGAGCCGTATTAATGATAATTATATAACATTATCATGTCTATTCGTTTTTCTAGAGAACATAATTATTACTGAGTTTGATTTTAAATGAAAGTAATTTTTAACACTGCCAGTCCAGAAAGGAAAATTCTTATGACAAAATAAATTAAACAGCTGACATTTAAATATATTTTTGTGCGGATTGATACAAATAGAGGTTAAAAATGCCCATGGAGGATATTGAGCTCGTTATTCGACCTAGTAAAACATGAAGCAAAATATCGTACTTATTGTTCAAACATTTATTAAAATGTCAATTTAAAGTTACCAGTAGTTTAATGTTTTTAATTCGACTGATGTTTTCTCTAATTAAATCCCCTCTTAAACTTTATCACACACTTCAGTACTAAAAGGAATTATTCGAGAATTCAGGAAAAAGAAGGGGGGGGAGGAAAGAAAAAAGTAACGACAAAAAACAACAGAATACCATGTTACATTTTACCTTCTACCCGGCTCATGAGAGACATGCACCATTTTTTCTTTGGTGGGATCTAAATACAGAACAGAACAGAACATATACTTTATTTCTGACTTGGGCTCAACACCCATCATCATAACATACATATACATGTATAATTATTACAATGCATGCGTCAAGAATCATATCATAACAAATTCAATCAGTTATATTCAAATATTATGACATAGCTAACATATTGATTGAGAATGCCAAAAATAAATTTCTACATTAATAATATCATATTGATATGCTAATCTACCAAATTGTCTCGTCTTTCAAATGCTTTAATACAAAATAATGCTAATTTTCTAATAACCAATTTTCTATCTGCGTTTAACAATTGTATGAATTTATAAACACTAGGATTAACAGTAAAGTATCTCGAAATGTACATACTTCTAAAATCACTATAAATTGGACATATTAATATAAAATGAAATTCATCCTCTATATCCCCGGACGTACATAATGTGCATTTTCTCTGACTTCTTTCAATACCCCTGTGTCTTCCAGATTCAATATGTAGTTTATGGGAACTTAATCTAATTTTTGCAAGAACTGATCTGTATTTTGCATTTTCTAATAATTTAAGATAAATAGACCTTTCATATTTAACTTTAACATTTGAATACATTTGCAAGGAAGAGCATAACGCCATGTCTGCTCGCCATTGGGTTACATATATATCCCTGAGACGTGATCTGAATACTGGTATAAAAATTTTAATATTAACCGATTCTGGATATAACCATACTTCGGCAAATCCAGCGTTTTGTAACATGTCTCGAACTTTTGATGACCAGTTGACAACATTTGAGTTATTTGATATATCATTTCTTTGAGAACTTAGAATAGTTGTTAAAATACAGTTTTGACTCTTATCGCCGTGTAACTTTAGCCAATATTTTGCTATCCTAACATATCTTTCAATATACAGAGGAAATCTACCTAGTTCAGAATACAATGATAGAGTATTGTTGACATTTTAACATTTAATAACCATTTACAAAATTTTCTTTGCAAACGTTCAATATTTTCTGCTTTATTAAAGCCCCATACTTCACAATTATAATTCAAAATAGATAAAACATACGCATCGAACAAATTGAACATTATTTCTATAGATATATCTAACTCTTTTGTAATGTTAAGTAAAGAGTTCATTGCCCTTAAGCCTTTTCCACTAAGGGTATTTGTTGCTGGTACAAATGAACCGCCACTAGAAAATACAATTCCTAAATAATTGAAGTTTTGAACAATTTCTATATCAATTCCATCATATGACCATTTGAACTCTCTACTTAATTGCCCACCTTTTCTAAAAACAACAATTTTAGTTTTATCAACATTTACAGTTAAATTCCATTTTTTGCAATACAATTGTAAATTATTTATATTGTTTAGTTGACGTTCTTTGGATTCAGAAAAAAAGAACGGCATCCTCCGCAAACAACAACAAATATATAGATATCTGGTCTAGTGTAATGCAAGCATTTGGGTCTTCTTGTAAAAAACATTTCAATATCATTCAAAAATATAAAGAACATGACCGGCGAGGTGATCTCCCCTTGAAAGAGACCTACATCACAGCTGAAAAAATCTGACAAACTATTTAAATGTCTTACACATAGTTTAACATCTTCGTACATTGACCGTATAATAGAGAACAGTTTTCCGTCCACCCCGGTCTTTATGAGCTTATACCAAAGGTAATTTCTGTCGATTAAGTCATACGCCTTTTTATAATCCACAAAACAACGAAAGAGCTTATTTTTCGTTATAAATTGTCTCTTTATTAAAGCATTTAATATAAAGATAGGATCAATAGTACCGTAATTCGGTTTAAAACCGAATTGTGCGTCTGTCAAAGTTTCCGTGTTATCAGCCCAACGTTTCAATCGTTCATTTATAATAACTGTAAACAATTTAGCAAAACAGCTGATCAATGTTATTCCTCTATAATTATTCGGGTCAGACGAATCACCTTTTTTATATATTGGTATGATTACTCCTGTTGACCAGCTACGAGGAAACACTTTTGCATTTAATATGTGGTTAAACAATAATTCAATTGAACGTGCCGTTACAAATACACTTTCTTTGAAATATTCATATAGGATATTGTCTAATGAACACGCCTTATTACAACCGAGTTTCTTGGTGGCGGATATTATTTCCTCTTTTGTGATTGGTTGATCCAGTTCAGCGAAGGAACTTCCATAGGAGTCTGGGGCTGTATCAAATTGCGACAAAAAGTCATTACATTCCATATTTTCACTAAGCATTGTATTAGAAGACAAGTTTTTGAAATGATCATAAAATTCTTCAACAGTTATATTTTCACCATTTGGATTTGAAGATTTCTTTTTAAATGTTTTCCAAAACTCTCGTGGATTTTTTCTTCTCATATCATTCATTTTTTTACCAACATTTTTATTAAAGCTTCTTTTATGCTTTTTACAAGTGTTTTTGTAATCACGTTTCTTTTCATGCAGGATATTTCTAGTGCTTTCGTTTTTTTCTAAATTATAGTCATCAATTGCCTGTAAATAACTATCTCTCTTTAATTTACATTCATCACTAAACCATTTCTTCAGATTTGAGTCATTATGCACAAAATAATTATTTCGTGCAACTGATTTAGTTTCAAAGTACTGTTTTTGCCTTTATCGTTTAAAAAGTCCGTGAAAGTCTTAGTTAATGTATCGGTACTATTCTCCGTTGTTTATTTGCTCTTGTAAAATAGTTTCTATGTTTTGTATATCATGTGATACGTCATTTATAAATGCATCCCTTTGTGATGGTTTCCATTTATAAGAAATAGTTGGCTCCTTTTTTATCGTACTTGGAATCGAGTTAACTTTGAATGAAAATGATATCGGGGCATGGTTAGAAAATTCATTGAAATCATGCACATAAAAATCGGCTAAATCTTGAAAGTTTAACTGTGACGTCACCAGATAATCGACCACGCTTTCCCCGTTATATGTCATACAGGTAAATTTGCCTATGCCTTTATCTCTATACAATCTACCATTAACTACCCGAAAATTGGTTGATTTACAAAGGTCAAGTAAACGATCGCCAAAGCGATTTGAACCAAAATCACAAGAAGTCCGTGGCAAATATGGGTCAATCGTATAAATATCTGTTTGTCCTATATGTCTATCATATGTTATATATAATCACTTTCTGGCCAATGCGCGAATTAGTGTCTCCAGTAATTGAATATTTTTCCTTTATTGCTAAATATATTTATATCATTTTCAATGTGCCTATAAATATCTTCATCGTACCTATCATGAATCGGGGAATGTTCTGGTGCAATGTATACAACTGCTAAATAAATGTCATTTTCTATGTGAAAGAACGATTTATCAAATTTCAACCATACCAGACAATCAATATCATTTTTAACCATTTTAACACCTTTTCTTATGGAATTTTTTATATAAATGATAAGTCCACCGCTGGAGCGCTTAGCACGTCTATGCTGAAATCGTCTATAAGAATGAATCGGTTTGTCATATCCATTAAGATCAATAACTGAGCTTTTATTCGTCCAAGACTCACTTAAACATATAACATCATTTTCACTTATAATTCCAATACATGTATAAGTGCATGGTTCTCTCTTTACAGTTTTCACACCATTATTAATATTTCATCTTCATAACAATGTCAGATTGGTTTCAATTTTTCACAAGTACGTCATGTATTTCTCATTTTTCCTTTGTATTTAAAGATAACTCATTCTGAGGATGTTTAGTTCAAATCCCGTCAGAGGCAAGCCGTTGTTTCTTTGAGCAAGAAATCTTACATTCATTGCTCAATAGTGGTTGGGTCCAGGAATGGAATGTAGCGTGTGTCTATAAGTTCATTGCTTCCTTCACAATCGAACGAAAATAAAATCTGTATAATTCTGTATAAATCAAAGATCATTCGTGAGAATGACAACCTGGCTTGCGTCCTAAAGGCGATTTTGTGTGTCGTTCATACATTAAAATATTGTTTTTAATATTTGGTACATATGTTGTGTCGGTGACACAGAAGTGACGTGTGTTTTTTTATGTATTATATTATGTCATAAGCAGGAATTACTAAATCGTGCTCACGAGATCTTCAAGCCGTTTGCACAAAATAATTAAGTCGTGCACACGATATACTGTCGAGCTCACTATTTACTATTCTTGCGCATGAGATAATTAAGTCATGCGCAAAAGACATTATGTCGTGCACATGAGTTACTTAGTCGTGTGTACGACATAATTAAGTGGTGAGCACGAGACTGTGTACGATATAATTAAGTGGTGAGCACGAGACACTATGTCGTGCGCACGAGTTACTAAGTGATGCACAAAGGTAATCAAGTCGTGCGCACGAGTTACTGTGTGGTGTGAACGAGATAATTAAGTCTGCGCACAACATAATAAGGTCATCAGATTGCCATGAGCAATATTCCTGGCACGTTCCATAAA